TCCAAAGGGTCTTTTGGTGCCGGCCATGCACACGATCCGTCTTCCCGTCTTTCCCCCGCACGCCTATTTATTGTATCTGAAGAGATCTTTGATGCTTGTATCTTTTCTGGTGTGTATCACGACCCCCCAGAGCATACGAAGCGCCCCATCCATTCCACCACCTCCGGCTATTACGCACGGACGTCGCACCGCACCGCTGACGCTCCACCCGATCTTTCAAATCGCCCGACGCAATCGTCGGGAAGGGCCATGGAGCTCATCCGTAAACGATGCTCGACTGTGGTACGAAGAATCACCGACATCTCCGCTTTGGGCCAATATGAGGAGCGCGAACGAGGTGGCTCGAGAGATGTGGGCGCCGTCAAGGTGGGAGCAGAGAATGTCACTAGCGGGGCAATTCACAACCTTTTGCTGCACGCACGAACTGCCGATGAACGCGGAGAGCTGCGCGGCCTTTTGATGTCAACATTAGATGTGGCGCCATCGACCCGACGGCAGCACGCCAGGATGCTGCGGTCCATGTTGGAAATGAATTGAACCCCGCTGGGCATGATGATTCTGGGGTTACAAAAAATTGCGGCGCGATGGGAGACGAAACAGGCGCGCCCCTTGACAAAGGAAGAGATGAACCAAGTTATCCGCGGCCGAACCGATTGGAGGGAACGTGTTGTCTTACGACTTGCGTGGATAACGGCGAGCTGTTGGCCCGAGATTGCGGCCTTGACACCCAACAATTTTACACTGGAGCCGGACGGGACCTTAATTTTGGATTGGCCCGTGGCGCCGAAGACGGCGAGGGCGGATCCCCACCGCGCCTCGCGGTTCGTGAGGATACGAGGGCAGGACGCGTTCGACACTATAAAGCTATGCAGAACACTTCAAGAGAACGAAAAGCTCACGAATATTACGGCTGCCCACGTGGGGCGAGCTCTGGCTCCTTGGGGTGCCACGGCGCATTCCATAAAATGCGGTGCGTTGAGGCACGCTGCTGAAATTGTGGAGACATACAATTTGGACCCACACGTGATCTCGCAGTTGGTGAAGCACGTCAGTCCGTTCGAAATTCCCCAGAATACTGTTCGATATTTGAGGAGGTACACCACAATGCTGACCCAGGTGTCGTCGCTGGTCGCATTGATGTGAAGGGAGAGACCGCGGAAGGGCAGTAACCCTGGTTGAAAGCAGAGGAGCATTTTTCCACTATTTTAATCACAATCATGCTGCTACAATAACGAGACGCGCGACAAGGACGCGTCTGACCACTCCACAAGATGAACACGCTATCCCGTTACAGCGAGTCAACGTGCCTGTATTGAATCTGGAGTGGATCATGAGTCGGTTCAACCCGGCTACCTTGGAGAGTCTCATGCAAGTTTGGGGACTCGTCGGGCGGTCCCCCTTCCCTCCGTCTTCCTCCGGTAAGGCGCGCGAAGGCTCACGGAGGATTCCAACCGCTGACGCGCGTTTGTTACGAAAGGCGGGAATTATCGAGGACGCTTCGTCCACAATAACAGGCGGATAGATAATGCCTTTTTCGGTTGTGGAGGAGAAAACCGCCGGTTTGCGACGACGATGGATCGCGTGGCCACGCGACAAGAACAGAGACGACCCTTATGAGGCCAATGTTCCTCTTTTACACATTTCCCATTATTTGCTGCCTGTGATGGCTGAGGCCGCTTCCTGCCTGGATGTGAAGGCATCCTTTTTTCAAGTCTCTTTACCGCGGGAGACCCGGCATCTCTTTTGATGCCGCGTGGAGGACGGCACGCTGGTGGAGCTGACACGGCTCCCTATGGGATACAAGGCCATCCCAGAAATCCTCCAGATTATTACTTCAGCAATTGTGGGGGTGACGACGGTGACTTACCGCCTCCGGGCTGCACCTCCATTGGTGCGTGTCGACGTTTGGATCGATGATATACGCATTACGGGGTCGAAAAGCGGTGCGACATTGTGGGAGGCCCAAGTGCTTCGTAATGCGGACGGCCGTCGCGCCACGATGGGGAGGACCGCGAATCGGGCGCCACGCATTACACCTTTCTGGGAGTGCGGTTTGATCATACTCGCCAGGCGGTATCTCTGAGTGAGAAGTTTGTCCGGTCTGTGCGCGCCATGCCGGCGCTCAATTCTTTAACCATCGCGGAAATGGAGGTTATGGCGTCACGCTTTTTATATGCGGCGGCCATTTTGGGCACGCGTTTATGTGACTACTACTTTTTTATCAAGGCAGTGCGACGGCGATTATCCGCACTTAACCGGGGAATCGTGCAGGAGACATCCCCGGCGAACCTTCCGCCGTCAGCGGTTGGTTTGGGCGAGAGATTGCGACACATCATCGAGAACAATCGCAAGCGCATCATCAATCCCACTGAAAAGGCATCGGCCGCCATCATCACGGACGCATCGCTCCATGGATGGGGAGCCGTTTTCCTTCCAGACTCCGGCGACGTTAAAATTGCCGGAGGAAAATGGGAGAGGAAGTCTTTTCTTATCATGCAGGCGGAGGCACGCGCGGTACGCTTAGCCTTATCGGCCTTTTCCGCCATCTTGCCATCCACCATGGACGTTTGGGTGGACAACACTTCGCTGCGAGGAGCGGCGAATAAAGGCAGCTCAAAATCGCACGCGCTGACGTAGGAGCTGCAACGGATATATGAGTTTTTAGACTCTCGCGGAATACAGGCATCCTTTGCATACGTACGGTCAACAGAAAAACCCGAAGACGGCATATTGCGCGGTCGTGTGTTTACACTTCAGGACTTGGCGAAGGGGTGGAACTTGCGAAGGGGAGCGGCGGGGTCTTGTGGCTCCAGGACCCCAAAGTCTGCCACGTCGTAAGCAATGCGTATATATATATCCCATCCGAATAGAGTGAACAGGTCATGATTGTTGCAAACGGATGATATATATATGCATATATATATATAATTACTAGGTGTTAAACTTCGAGGATGTGGTGAACTCACTCTTATTCCGTTTATCCCTTTCTTATTCCTATCTTGTTTGGTTCCTATTATTGATAAACTCAGGATTCGGCCTGCGGCACATAAAATCATTCCCATGTCAAAAGAGAAATTCCCCCGCACCGCCGCACAGCATCATACGTGGGCCACACCATCCACACCCTCAGCTGCATGCTTTCGGAGACACGCGGCCTCCATCAATCCTCGTACTCGCATCGTGCTTCAAGGCGGCGCTCGTCGTCTCACGGCTGAAGGATGCACCAATGGCTTCACAGCTCTTGACAAGGGCCCCGCTGAACCACACTCCTCCGCAGCCCACTGGTTCGGACACCCCAAATCCAAACAGAAGTCTCCTTGCCACGCGCGGCACCACAGACTGCGGTCTTACCATCTCGGGGTCTTCCGCCAAGACCCTCGCGGTGGTGCGGGAAACTTCCGGACAACACTCGTGGCCCGTGTGCGGGCGAGTCAATTCCACAAGATCCACAAATCCCACTCGACAGCGGAAACTCGCCCGTGCATATCCGCCAAAAGAGCTGCCTGTAAAAAGACGCATCCACATCCAGTAAAGCAGCGGTCTCGTCCCACATTGCGCCAAGATACTGCGAAATGTGAAATGGCAGAGCAACCATGACCCCGGCGTCCTCATGGGCGTTGCTTGCCTTTGGCCATGCGATGAACCGCCGTCTCTGTCCTGACGGCTTGTCCAACACCGCCGCAAAAGGCACCGCCAGACCATTCTGCGACGGGCGCTTCCAACGCTTCACAAATACTACCTGCCTTTCCCACAAGCAGCGCATGCTGTACGGAGATCCTCAAATTCATTTCGTTCCCATCGCTCGTCTAAATGACGGACCGTAACACAGTGTCCTTCCACAAATCGTCAACACAGCCGCGTGCCGTTGAATTCGTCCGCCATCGGATCCACTTCAGGGATGAAAAGTGCACAGGCCCACTCGTCGCCGGGGCAACCAATCCTCCTCCTCCCGCAACGCAACCCGACGGCTATGGGTGCGCCAAACGATGCTGCGGCCCTCAGGAAAGATGGTCGTGTGCCGTCCCTCCCCGGCGACAATTGTGCCCACAGCACCGTCGCCCGGCGCACCAACTCGTTTCCAGCAAAGATAACAGCTGCGCCGACGTCTTGGTGAGGTGTCCCAAGGCATCACCACGAGCGCGGCGTTGAGAGGAAACCCATGCCGAGCGGCCGCACCCGGAAATTGATGATGATTCCCCACCTGTGCGCGCCCAGAAGGCATTGCTTCCGGAGCCGAAAGTCCCTTTTTTTGTGTGTGTAGTTCTCCTTGAGCAGCTTCACTCGGCACGTCGTGTTGTATTTTCCAATCCGACCACATTTGCGGCATCGTGCTTCATTGGGCGGGGATGCGGCATGCTCTTTGTTTGCTCTCGGAACCTCCTGGGGGAATGGGCGGTCCCATTTCTGGGCACTTCGACAGCACCCTGAATGTCCTCGACCCGCGCTCCAGCATCGTTATTCACTGTCCCGAGGATCCATTTGACTGAGTGTACGCAGTCGCCCTGACAACTGGCAAGATTCCATAAGCATCTCTTCCTCGCGAATGGCGCACGCCCAGGACGCACCGTTCCCCTCACGGCTGTCTGCATGCCAGGACCTGACGCAGCCGGCGTCGGAAGGGTGACCCAAGACGCATCCAGGAGCTGTGGCCAGGCGTTGCACACATCATGCATTTCAATACGCCGTCAAATGGTGCGACTGCAATCCTCCGGACAAATCCCTGCCTCCCACGGATTCCCCACTTGGTCCCCCGTGTGCCCCGTGGGCCGAGTGACAGCTCTAATTCCTCTGGCACGTCATGAATTTGCAGGATATTTCAGTTGTCTCGGCCGTATGGGACGCACTCCAACTTCCCGTGGCAGAAGCGGTGGAGAATCGTGACGGGCCTGGCTGAGTGCTGATGCACGCCAGTTTGTCGTCCCATTTACGGCTATGAGCAAATTTTGCAACGGCGCCAATCGAATGCGCACCGCATGGAACTGCGCGTGGACATCTGAGCTGCATTTCAGTATTTTTGCTCCTCCAACCGAGCCCAAGCGCGCTCATATGGGCGCTGCAGCGCCAACTGCCTTCCCTCAGGTGCCGCCCAATTGCTCCAAACAGCGGTGTGCTTATTCCTCTTCAGAGAGGCTCGAATGGACTCAGGGTTCCTCGGCACGGTGATGGCAGCGACAGAGTGTCGCAACGAGGTGCAATTCATCCCTTTGTCCTGGCCCCGCCTTGCAACGAATTCGCCGCCCGCTAATGGTGAGAACGCCGCCCACGTGGTGGCTCAATGGCGGGCAAGTCGCTGGGCAAAGACAAAGTGGATGAAGTGCCGCTGGACCGCACAACCTCAGAATGTGGTTGTGGGCGTGTCTGTCTCGTGGACACCGTCCAATCCACAAATCCACCCATAAATTCCTCCCTCAATAAATATTCTTTGCGCTAGGCTTCACAAGAATAGATAGGAGAGAATAACCGCCTGGACCGCTGCCCGAATCCTAAAATTATCTAAAGAAATCAAGCAAAAGAGGGAAAAGGGGTAAATGGAGAGGCAGCGGCCTCGCCACATCCTCAATGCTTGCTCCAATTAAATACATGTATATTCGGGAAGCCACTCTCCTGACACGGTGCGGTCTATTCAGATGGATGATGTTTATTCATTACGAAGTGGAAAAATTTGTGCTCTTCCAACCACAAGACCCCGCCGAAAGTTAGGAATCAAAAGAGGATGAGTGAGAAAGCAAAAAAGAAAAAAAGCATTCGTCTTGCCGTTATCGGTTCCTCGACTCCTTCCATCGCGGTGTTGCAGAGCATTCGAAAGATGGGCAATGATCGTAAATAAATATATTCGCCTTTCATGGAGGATATATTAATTTGGGCAACCAACATTCCTCGCGTTCATCCTCTTCACAAGCTCCCAGAAGAAGACATTATTATTGCGTGTTCCTCTAGACACACCTCCGTTCACACCATTCCTCTTGTAACCATAAAAAAAAAAACCGGAAAATGACAAACAAATTTAAAAGAAAAAAAATACTACGCTCCAACAATACAAATGGCTTCTTTTCTATAAATGCTGCTCCACACACGCACTGTTTCTTTTGCGTTCTTGACGCACGATCCGGTTCAATTTGGAAAAATAATAATTTGACCTAAAGTAAATAGCAGAGAAAAAACAGAGACCGCTCAGGGCCGCACACACATGTATATATATATATATATTACTATCAAAGCATCTCCTTTCAATTGGGGATAAATGTACCCGTAAGGAATTAAAAATGATTAAACAAAACAAATTAACAGTACTGACCAACAAATGGCACATTCCCAATTGAACGATTACAACACGCGTTTTTTGTTGTTGTTGTTTTTTCACAAAATAATTAACACATTGACACAAAAATAAGAACCAGCATAATCAATGGAATCGGGGGAAAAGCTGACAACAAACTGCTCACGTCTCCACCTCCATTAATTGTATCGAAGACAATACATACATCGTCGTACTTTGGACACAAAATCCTCCCTCCCGTGAACAGCCCAGCTGGTGTAATACTGCTGCCCTCCGGGCATTTGTGCCACGTATCATCTCCAAGGTACCGCACGCTCACCTCGCCCTTGTCACACGACACCTCGGCGCAGACGTCACCAACAGGACCCATGAAATCGGCAAGTTCATCCCCCTTTAGGCACTTTGATCTCGGACCAACGCGGCTCCCACGCATAACGGTTGCGTCCCCATTACTGCACCTAGTTTTGATATTCGGTCGAATGTAAGGGCAGAAGTCCATTAAAAGGTCGGGAACACCG